CAGGTATGTCTCTGCTCTCCTCATCACATCCTGTCTTCCCACCTTGTGCGCCTCCTAACCGAAGACCACCATCCCCATCACCTGCTACCGCACGTCGGTCGGCTATGGTCGTTGTGTGCCAGCTTCTACTGCAGCTCCCTCTCACCCCTTAGCGTCCGTTGTCGGAGGGCGCGATGTCCCGACCCTCCATTGCGTACCAAATGTCAACTTATGAATCTCCGCGATGTGCCTCGCACGGTAGTGGGTTAGGCTCATCTTGTGCACGTCCTATCCTTAGACTGGTCCAGTAGGCGTTCCTACAGCAAAAGGAGTGGGTGCGCCACTGGACTTTCCATTGGTCCACGCAAGCTCGGCGCGCTGCTGTACAGCAAAGCACGACCGGCCAGTGGCCGTGGTAGCCGTCGGGCTCGCGCAGGGACGCGAAGGTAGAGATAATGACACAGTCCTTTCAAGTGCGCGTCAAGCCTTCCGGTCGGGTTATGGGATGTAAGGGAAGAAAGAGAAAAAGAAAACAAAAAAAGCAAAGGAAAGTCGTGCGTCAGACTTGCGTTTTGATCCGGATCGTCACTTTAGTGCTGGTTGATCTACCGGTCCCAGACAGTACTTGCGCTACGTTTACTTCCTTTTCTTTCTTTTATTACTATTACTATTTTTATTGTTAGTTGTCTTTTGAATTTTGTTCCCATTTTGCCATTTTGCGGAGGGACTAATGGTTCAGTTTTAAATCGTGATTGCAGATTGGTGGTTGAGGCTGGCCAGACCCTTCGCATTCAGTACATTGCTGACGTGATCGACTAAGCACTGTATAGTGGGACCCCCAAAAGAGGGGTAACTCGCGACCACTTTGGTAGGAGGCTTATCACCTCCCGCGGAAGGTCATAAGCCCCCTCCTTGCCATCGGAAGCGGGCACCCATCGAGGGTAAGGCCAGCGGTCATTCTTGAGGACAGGAAAGCTTCGGCTGGAATCCCGTTATGGGATCACTTCACGCTGGAGACAAGGTGAGCAGCGATGGACAACAGAAGGTTCTCTTGACGCTATGACGATTGGGGTCCGGCCTCTCGTCTTCTTTATTATAATTCATTTTATCTTATTTTATTTTGTTATTTTCTGAATTACGAATTACTAACATGTTGAATTATAAAAGCTACTCGAGTCCCTTGTTCAGGGCATGGGGATTGCAGTATGGGGAGAGCTTATAAAAGGTGAGACGGGCTAACAGTTGGCTATTGGTCAGTAGGTGCATGCAAGCTACCTCGTTGTGCTAAGGCCTCTGGTTTGAGACAGGAGGACAAAGTAGTGAGGGCCGGTGAAGTCTGTCTGCGTGCGTGTGCACAAAGTACCAAGTTCAAATTATTTCGGGAAGTGTGCGGCCATGGCCCTGAATGGCTATGGGTCGGACTCTTGGAACCTCCTAAGGCGTTGGAGGCCAATGTCCGGTGAGGAACCCTGGATCACCACCGTCCTCAACTACAACGGGGGAGAAGAGGCCAAGTTGAAGATCAATGTGGAAGGGGCTAGGGAGGAAGAGATGAGAGTGGATCAGAAACTGCAGGCGTCCATGACTGAAGCAAAAGACAAAGCCAAGTGGAGGTGCAGGCGGGATGGCGTCCCGGCTGAGGTCCAGGTAACAATCGCCTACCACGAGGTGGAGACCTTCACCGATACTGCAGAATGAGAACAGGCTCACCTAGATAGAGACTAAGGGGGGGAGAGCGAAAAGAGCGCATCAGAGACTCTGTCTTGGCACGGGTTGGACCAGTGGCGGAGGGACCACCCGTCGGCTGAGCCCGTGGAAAGTGGGCCAGAGGCCAACTCACAGCAAAAGAGGAACCAGGAAGCTACACCTGTGGCTACGCTGTTGACGTCAACAGCCTTAAGCGGGCTCCGGATGAGGTGATCCAGTTGAGAAACCCAATGAGATGGGTACAGCTGATCCGTCGCAGCAGTAACCAGTGCATGCTCGGGGAGCAGGGTGTACAAAGAGGGACTTTGACACTACCTGGCACGAGAACCCATTGTTGACGTCATCAACTCCCATGCGCAACCTGTACAGTTCTCTTAATTGTTTGAGGCAATAATTAGTTCGTGGAGTGCCGAACATCGAGGCCATTTTCAAGCAATGAAGTTACCTACTCTGTGAAGAACCTTGTCAGACAAACGATCACAGTGCACTTCTTCGGTGCAGCACAGTGTGGAGATGATTACTGATGCTAGTTGCATGCCCCAATCCCTTACCAGTTCGAGATTACAGCTTAGTTGCGTGTTGAGGCAAGGCGAAGGCGGACATGAAGGGGGGAAGGGTTTTGAGACACACCTGGGTGTCCACGCACGAGAATGAGTTTACCTGGCCTTATCCATTGCAAAGGCGATCCTAGATACGGTCCTTTCTGGTGTTTTGACACCAGTCTAGTAAAGACTGAATATACACCAAGACTCTAGTAATTGTTGTTGTGCACCCCCTTCTTTGCTATAGGTGAGAGTATCTACAGTGGGTCACTAATGGAGAACATGGGCTTTGTGAGCATGCAACATTGTTGATGTTATCAGCATTGTAGGGGTTCCCCTTCTGTGTCCGGCCTCGATGACTCTGATCTTTCATATGGTGACGGGGTGAAAAGGAAGTGCTTCCTATATAAGACTGGGATATACTACGTGTATATCGTATAGTTTGCCGAGACTGTAATCCTAACCACCCCACCAAGCTTTGTGCGCGCTCTTCTTGTCGGATCGCGTACTGATTCTCTGGGGGCAAGCCGAGAAGTTACTATTAAGATCTCGGAGTCGTCTGTGGGGGAAGTTCTGCCTGAAATTTCTTTCTTATTTACACAGTCCTGTCCCTTTCAGAAAAGCTTGGGTGATAGTAGCCAGCTGAAACATATGTGTATGAGAAGTGTTAATTGGACACAATGTAGCCAGTGTTGTAATAAACTTTTCACGATCGGGCGGGAGGCTTTTCTTCTCTAACTCGAAGAATGAGAGTTTGTGCTCAGGTCAACAAAGAGCAGAATTGCAATGGGGGAATCGGTGCAAAGAGTTAAGTGATTGATCCATTGCCTGTTGATACGGAGAGGAATGACGGTGACAGTTTTCTTGGTGAACTCATAAAAAGACCGGGGTCACAGATAAGATCTCTGCCCCTCCGTTCTCCCCCATGAATTCTCTAATCTGTTTTAATCCTTCCTATTTTATCTTTTGGAAATCGTTCTATTGGAGAAGTGAAAGTGGGTAGATCCATCTAATTAGAATTCGACTGAACTGATGACGAGCATTGAGTATGATGACATGAGCTAAGTCCAGACCCCCAATCAGTGAGCGGTATTGCATCTCACGCAATGGTATTAAAGGAACGTAGCCTCGAAACCAACCTAGGCGTGTGAGGTATTCTCCTTGTTGACCAAGCATGAATGGGCAAAACGGGGGGTAGTCTTGAGAAAAATTGCATATATCTTCGTGAAATTTCTTATTGACAGGGACTGATAATCTTCATTTTATCTGAACCAGACTTAAAGATATAGGCACCACTCGTCCCGACCAATTCCACTTTGCCTTCCGCTATCTCATCCCAGCCTTCCTCTTCCCTTATCGGGTTCCAAATCCGCTTTATCCATACATATGATAACCTCGGGGCAACCTCAAACCCAACCCAGTCGCACGTGGTTCCCCTCCACTCGTTTTCTGCCGGTATAGGCATTTCTATCCTCCCTTGAGTCGCCTTGGCTCCCATCCCTTGAAGGTGTATTCCATCAGCAATTCCTCCCTGGTCATCTTTTCCCTTCCCGCAGAATGCCAGGCCACTCGGTCTCCCTAAGTAAGTCACCCTCCTCAGAAATCTCAGTCCTCTATTTCATCATCTTCATCCTCGTCACTGAAGTCGTCCTCTTCGTTGTAGAACGACAAAGTCATTGTCTACGCTAAGGCAATTCAACATCTCAGCCATCTCCTCCGCCCACTTCCCTTCAAACGGCCTCATTTCTACCGACAACCGAAAGAAGTCTTGCCTAGCGCACTGGTACAGTCCGAGGGTCGTCATGAACTAGCATATCCGTACTAGCCTGCTACGGGTTCCGAAGACCGCATCCACCAGAAAGGGGCAACACACATCGCATGGTTCTGACGGGTCGCCTCACGCTTCCCCTATCCCCAAGTTCCACCCGCACATCTACTCTTTCCATTTCCATTTCCCTCCGCTGACACGCAGCCCATACAACCTCCGCTACTGCCTTCCTAAACAACTCGTCCGGCGTATTCCCGAGTGCCAAATCTATGACTATATCATTCTCCCTGTCTTGTGACAAGTAGACCCACCCCCGGGCTTCCACTGTCCCTCGGAACTATAAATCCATTAAACTCGGCGACAACCTCGTCAAGCTAACATTAGCCCATACTGTCTCTATCCAAAGGAACGCGTCCTCCCCTTCCAGCATTACGGTTTGATATGCTGGCTCAAGATCTGTCCACGTCCCATCTTCTGGGAGGACGACCGATACCCCATCCCTTACATTTAGTGGCATTTCCGGACCGCTGGTATAGATCGGGGAAGACAACCACCGCGCCATCTTGTCTCCAGCACCTGACCCCTGTTTTCATAAGAGAGTACCAAACGGTCCCTTTTTGGTTAGGTCAACCCTCGTCCTGGATGAGACTTATTTCAGACCCCTCATCAACGTCTCCCTAATTTACCTCCCCATTCCTAAGTACCACCATCCCATAATACCCTCGGTAGCCCATCCATTTCCCCACATTCTTTCTCTTGGTTCCATTTCAGCCAACCTCTATCCTCCTTCCTTCCGATCATCTCTCACTCATGTAGACTGAGATGGGGAGGAGAGAATAGACTTCGAATTAGGCCCCGTCCAACAATCCAAGCTCAATCAGTCTTTACAGAGGGAGAACACAAAAAAAATCAAGCAATCTCACATGCGGGTCGGTCATCTCCTCACCGGCCTTTTCCCAATATGGTCTCTCCGCTGGTACTATCGGTAGAGTTTTATCCCATACCTCAGGCGCAGCTCAACCGTCGCGAGCGCGGTACCTAGGCTTCGGCACAGGGAGTTACCCCTCTCCATCTGCCCAAAATACCCCATCCCGTTTTGCCGCTCTTGCCTACCCTCGTTGGTACCGGGAATTACCCCTGCGCACCCCGTTAGGAGCAGTAGTCAGTCGTCCGGGCATTCACTTCCATTGGTCCGATAAGAATCAGCCTTTCCCAAGTCGTGCTACGAGAAGCTACTAATCGTCTCCGAGGTTCCTTCCTTGCCCGTATGCAGTGGTACTCCCCCCGCCAGCCAACAGGCTAAGCCCCGCCTGAGGAGACGTTTCGCACCCCGCCCGGGCAAGATCATCGAGCCAAGCTCGTGACCGCTCGGACGAGAATGCTACTAATCAACCGGCGTGACAAACTCCCATTCGACAGCTCGGTGGCCTGACCTCCACACACGAACACCTAGCAACCTCAAAAGAGAGCGATGTTTCGCGACCCGCACCGGCCGGTGCAGACCCATCCTTTCCTTCCGAAAGGCAGGACACTCAAATCCCATCATGCAAATCACAAGTCCCAAGTGGGACACATATAATACAAGTGTCTTTCCCTTGGTGCACCCAGCGCTTCCTACCCATAGCCTCATAATTTTCTCTCAGGATAACGAGTGTCACTCCCCCTATTTTCATACACAGTGATTGGTTCCTTCTCGTGAGGTCTTCAAAGGTGAGCTAATTTTCCTTGGAATCTAGCAACTCCCTCCATTCCCTTTCTCTTCATTTGTCTGTCCTTTCATAGGGTGGGGTTGTTCCTTCTTGATGACCCGTTGTGTTCATATTGGTTCCTTCAAGCATTTCAAAGTGCAAAGTGCATGAGCCCGGTGGGCTCAAAGAAGAGGAGAGCAGGGCACCCATTCGGTCGGATCACTCCGCCGTGGGATTTTCATTGGACCCCGGCCGAAGCCGAAGCACCAACCGCCTGCCAGGTAACCGGAGTCCTTCTTTCGCACGAATAGGAAGGGTCGACCTGCGACTTGCCTAAGGCTTCCCCGGAATGGCGAACACCAGACGAAGGAGGGCTATAGCCATTTCCCAAGGAAAAGGCTAATCAAGTGCATAGCATGCATGTTATACCTCCAGGTCTGGCCATGCCATGCGCCCAACCACTCTCAAATCTAATTCTCACAAGGGAAAGAGCAATCACAAGTCCATTTTCCTTATCTTGGGTTGTGTACACGTCGATGCGTCAAGCGTGCATCCGTCGTAAGAACAAAAGATGGTCGTCGCTCTCGGCCGCTCGTGAAATGATGGTGTCCAACAGAGAAGTGACCGGCGAGCCGTGCTCGAATTCGAAGGGCGACATCCCAATAGCCGGGTGGATGGAGGAGTTATAGGCCAACTCGACATCCGACAACCGCTCAACCCAATCCTTCTGGTTCGGACGGATGAGAGTACGAAGGAGAACATGTGCGGTCTGGTGCGCCCTCTCCGTTTGGCCATCGATCTGGGGGTGGCGAGCGGAACTGGGCTTGAGAGATGAGCCCCATCGCTTGATGAGCGCCAACCAAAAATCGGATATAAACCGAGTGTCGCGGTCGCAGACGATTTCCTTGGGGTAACCCTTGGTTCGAATCCAACCGGCGTAAAGAACCTCGGCCAACTCCGGTGCCTTGGCATGATAGCAGCAAGGCAAAAACATGGCGAACTTGGTGAGTCGGTCGACCACCGTGAGAATCCCATCCACTCCGGTCTTGTGCTTGGGGAACGGGCCGGTAATGTCCATGGCAATCGCTTCCCTTCGCCGCAAGGGGACTGGTAACGGTCGCAACTCGCCGTACGGACGATGATTGCGGGATTTGCAACATCGGCAAACCTTGCATGACTCGCAATAGCGTGTGGCGTCGTCGAGAAGACCGGGCCACCAAAAGCGCTCGCGGAGTCGGCCAATCGTACGATTGACTCCAAAGTGTCCGGTGGCGGGAGCGTCGTGGAACTCGCCAAGAAGCCGTATGCGCAAGTGTAAATCTCGTGGCACACAAAGAAGATCCTTCCCTCGCCACTGAACGAGCAAGTACCCCTCTTGGATCCGATAGTGCGATGGCGCCGGATTAGGAGAGGAGCAATTTGCGTACTTGTCGCAAAACTCGGGGTCGACTTAGTAGCCGCGGATGAAGCTGTCCCGGAAGTCGTCGTCAATCTCAAAAGTCGAGCAGACTGCGGTACAATGGTCCGGACGCTGTGAAAGAGCATCCGCAAAACGGTTTGACTTACCCGGAATGTGGTCGGGGAAAAAATCAAACTGGTCGATGAAGACCATCCAACGGGCAATGGTGTTATTGACCGTGTCTTGGGTCTTGTAGAAGACCAATGGATTGCTATCCGTTACCCATCGGAACTGCCGTCGACCGAGAAGAAAATGCCGCCAGCGCTTGAGCGCGTGTACGAAGGCCAATAATTCCTTCTTTCGTGCGTCGTGAATCGAGTGCACAGCGGGCACTTTCTTGCTAAAGTACTCGATCGGGTGCCAGTCCACACCGTCATGTTGCTCGAGGACGGCACCAATGCCATAGCCGGATGCATCGGTAGTGACACGTGTTGGCAAAAGTGGATCGTAGATGCGCAACACCTCCGCGGATAACAATGCGGCTTTGAGAGCCAAAAATGAAGTCCTCGCATGGTCGTCGAAGTCGAATGGCCGGTCCTCACATTGAAGCTTGGATAAAGGAGCCGCGATCTTCGAGTATCCCTTGATGAAGCGTTGATAGTAGCCGGCTAAGCCAAGGAAGGAACGGACATTTGTGACGGTCTTCGGTTCTGGCCACTCTTGGATGGCTTGAATCTTGTCTGACAACGGACTGATGCCCTCCGGTGTGACAAACTGGCCCAAGTATTCCAGCTCTTGCCGGACAAATTCGCACTTGTCGCTGTTGGCTTTGTACTTGGCGCGGCGGAGCGTCTCCAACACTCGTCGAAGGTGCTCAAGATGATCCTCCAATGTCCAGCTATAGATGAGGATGTCGTCTAAGTAGACTAGTACCAACCGGTCCAGCATCGCACGAAACTCGTTGGTCATTGCCGCTTGAAAGGTCGTCGGGGCATTGGTGAGGCTGAACGGCATAACGATCCACTCAAAGTGTTCGTACCGCGTCTTGAACGTGGATTTGTAGCAATCTTGCGGGCGTATCGAGATTTGATGGTAGCCCGACTTCAAGTCCAACTTTAAGAAAAATTTTGCGCCGCCCAAACGCTCGAGAAGGTCGTCAATTCGCGGAAGAGGTCCCGCATTCTTAACGTTTTGTGCGTTGAGCTTGCAGTAGTCGATGCACAAGCGAAGATCCTTGTTTTGCTTCCGTACGAAGAGAACTGACGCACCATATGGTGAGTTGCTAGGGCGGATCCAACCCTTGTCCAAGAGATCGTCGAGTTGAGCGCAGAGAACCTCGAGCTCTTCCTCGCTCATGCGATAGATACATCCTTTCGGCGGCACGGCACCGGCCTCGAGAGTGATCTCGTGGGAGATCGGTCGATCCGGCACCACACCGGTAGGAGACTCGAAGATGTCGGTGAACTCCTCGAGCAGCCGCACCACTCGGGGTTCCGAAGACAAGTCCGTTGGTGAAGATTCGGTCATCGAGGCGGCTCGTAGAAAACATAGGCCTATCTCGTCGGTCCGCTCGTAAGCGCAAGTGGCCCGAAAAGACTTGGCCGTTACAACTTGGCACCGGATTGAGGAGTGCAGAAGAGGAATGTTACACGACACCTCAGCGCCGAAGGCGTTGCGAACGGTAAGTGTCCGCTGATGGAAGTTAACCGTGTGATCCACACTTGCAAGCCAAGGCATCCCCAAAATAATGTCGAAGTCCGTGTCTAAGACGTCAAACGTCACCAGTTCGCATGCATGAGGTGCGAAATAAACCGGCACGGCTTCAATGTAGCGATCGAGGAGTTGTTGCGTCCGACCGTCCGCCAACTTGATCGCTGTCGGGTTTGGCTTCCTTCGAACTTGAGCGCCAAGGCCGGCCCTTTGGATGAAGGACTGGCTGATGAAATTGCGAGTCGAGCCGCTATCCAGCAAAGCGCTGCAGGACGCTTGCCCAACTTGGATGCGGACGTAGAGGAGCGGTGCATTGTTATCATCGTACCGCTGCATGCGAAACTCGCGGGCCACCTTGSTAACAYACGCAAGGATGTCCCCCACCGCAGCTTCGTCATCCGTCGGCGAAGATGGTGGTGCATAGAAGGCTAAGTATGTATGGAGATGGGCGCATAGTGCTGCGCATTGCGGTCTCGACAAACAGCCTGTGGAAGGGAGAGGAAGCCATGCAAAGTCCTCGGACGTCAACGGGTCCAAGACCTCTATGTTGAACTCGTGCGTCGAATCCCTTGAAGAACCACTTGAAGACAATCTATTGTTGCTGTTGCCGGACGGAGAAAAAGCCGCACACACATCTTGTCCTTGAGCTTGAGAACCCAGCGAAGAAACGAGTCGGGCAGCATAGTCCTCATAAGAATACAAGAGAGGACTGTCGACTTCCGCATGTGCCTCGGAATGAAGAGAGGTCGCTCGCAAAGCAACCGATTCCGGAGGCGTCGAGAGTGCACTCGCATCACTCTTGGCGGTGCTCACTTTCCCGAAGGGGATTTGGCTTGGACCGGTGTGGGGCACGTTGCGGTGTCGTGCACCGCGCTGTTGCACCACAAGCAATATCGGTACTTAGAACGGACGCAGTACACGCCTTCCGAGATATCGTAATGTGTCCAAGGCTCTTGAGCCGCTGGTCCGGCCCCGGGGGCTGAAGTGGTGTGTGTCTTCAGTTTGCCGCGTCCTCGCCCTCTGGCGGGGCGGCCACCATCCCGGGCGGCTGCCAATCTGTCTCCTTCCTCAGAATAGGCAGCCTCATTTGAAATGTTGGTCGTTGTAGTTGTTACGACCACGGCCACTTTCGGCCGATGCTGTCCTCTGCCCTGACCTGCAGCAGACGAATGGCCCAAATTGTTGGCCTTGATGTTCGTCAGGATGATCTGCAAGGCTTTGTCAAAAAGCTGCTCACTTGTGGTGAGCGTATCCGTAACTTGCGTCAAGGCGTTCTGCAACGCCGGGCAGCTCCTCCTGATGAAGAAGTGCTTGATAGCGACGAATGTCGACGGCAAGTTAGGCATGGATGCCAAGCGTTGGTACTCGGTGATCCAGTCCGTGCTTGGCAGGTCGTTCTGGTAGAACCGTTGAAGTTTCTCGGTTGCCTGAAGCTCGGGCGGCTCCACTTGGAACCGCTTATGCCATGTTGCCTTGAGATCAGCCCAGCTGATCTTCGTATGCAGCTCGGAGACTGCGACGTTGTGCGTGGACAATATGTTGTCCAGCCATGCCTGGCACGCACCTCCCGAGCGGGAGTATAAGTACGAGTGCCGGTTCGGATTGATGACGTGGTGAATGTCCAACTTCAGCTCAAACTGACGCCACCATGGGATCGGGTCCGTCTTCGTTGCATCGCAGAAGATCGGGAGGCCGTCAAACTTGGGAATGCTCTCGCGAGTGGTCGCGGTAGGACTGGTTGTGGCAGCTCAAATCTGCTGGTCGATCCGCTGATTTGTCGTTATGGTGCCGTCCTTGAGAGTCTCGACGTCGATCTCCAAGACATTGATGCGATCCGCCAAGTTGGAGGGTCCGGCGGGGGTGGCTGTTGCAACCTGTTGTTCCAGCCGACATACCCGGTCAAGCAGTTCATCAATAACGCGAATCTGCTTTCGGACCAGGGTGTCCATGCAGAGGATGTCCTCTTGCTGTGCTGCACAGGTGGCGACCAAGTCGCTCACATGTTCGATTGTGGTTGCAAGGCCACGCACAACAGAGGGCGCACCCTCCTCGTCAGCAGCCACTGCCCATTCACCGACGATCACCTCGATCCCCCTCGCATCCGAGGAGTTCGTCTCGGCGTTCGTCTGCGGCCGTTGCTGCTGCCTCAACGTCTGCCTGTCGCCGTTGTTCAGCGAGGTGACGTTGTTCCTATGCTTCCTCATCTTCCTTCTTATGTGCGGATGTTGCCGCAGGGGCCCGTTGCTTGAACTCTGCTACCATGTCCAGCATGCGGGCCTCATAGGCCTCGTGGTCTCACCTGGCTACTGATCCATTCCGCTTGTCTTTGAGCGGGTGAGCACCATGCACTGACGTGACTTGTTGCTGTGTGACTGGTTGTTGATGTGGCACTGCTGCCATGGCAACTTACCAATGCCGCCGCAGGGGGTACCCGGAAGGAGATAGAGAAAAGGCCAGAGGGGACAACAACATAGGTGGGGAGGGGTGGGATAAATCGCCCAGATAAGGAGCCACTAATAAAAAAACGAAAAGTTTGAACTTCGCAAAAATTCGAGGAAAAAGAAAAAATACTCGTTTGCAAGTTCGGTAGGCCCCCCAATTCCCTTGAAGTGCGAAATTATCAATGAGAAAAAATTTCGGACTTTCAGACCGCAAATGACTTTCTGATAAAAGAATTTCGAAAATAAGTACAATTTTTTTTTTTTTCGGGATTACACAGATGAGAGTACGCGCAGTTTGGAGAATGCTAACTGCAAGAGGGATTCCTGTACCGTTTTTAAAAAAAAACAGATGTCAGAAAAAATATTCCAAATTTCCAATAATGGGAAATGTAACAGGGAATCAAAATTTTCGAGAAAAAGATATTTCGGATTTCCAACAACGAAATTTTGGATTTTCAGAAGAAAAACGAAATGGAAATTTCAGATGTTGCGCTATTGCGATTTTCCACAACAGAAATAGCGAGAAAACGAAGTCCAAGAAAATAAAAAAAAAAAGATTTTCGACAATGAGGTCAAAATCGTGATTTTGGGGGCTTAACTAGTATGCTCTAATCAATCTACCAAGACTAATCAGCTACTTAGTCCCCGCACACGTGTCAGATCAGGTTGTCCCGATTCACGTGCGAAGCTCCGATACCAACTGTTACATGCCTAGTTGGGCAATGTATACAATAACCGAGGATCCGCAATGTGATAAAAAGGACTGAATGGACAATGCAGTGCAGGTAGAATCTCAACAAGCAATGTGCATTCCAATACATACAAAATAATGCTGAATAGCGCAGGGAAGACTTAGATACAAATCCTGACCTGACCAAGACTTACCTCATTCATGTAGTACAAGCTAGCGAAGCAGAATGCTAAAATGCTAATGACTAGCCCAATCAATGTTTGAACGCAGACCAAACATGCATCGTATCCATCACAATGTGTGAAGGAGCCTGGCGCTATACACAGGAAAGAGGCGCCAGATCCAGACATACACAAACGAAGAGGAGGGGATCAGACGAAGAAGAGGAAGGCGGAGATGGGAAAGTCGTCAACACCAAGTCTCGTTTCAAATCCCAAATAATCCCCCTTCGATATGTCTGAAGTCCAATGTCGAATCTGGATCCAAATGTCACCAAGCTCTCTCTCTCTCTCTCTCTCTTTCTCTCTCTCTCTCTCTCTCTCTCTCTCTCGTAGTCTGCTGATGCAGTGAAGTCAGATAGCGGGAGGGTGAAAAGGAGATGGTGGACTGAGAAGAGGAAGAAGAAGAACTCTCTCTCTCTCAAGTGTCAGGTACCAACCTGTGAAGATGGTGCTGTGCTGCGGGTACCTCGAAGATGAAGCTGGAGCAACGGCGCTGCAGGTAAGTATCCCTGGCCTCCGCCCCATATCTCTCTCTCTAGTACTACTCTAGCTACAAAGCGCCCAACGTTGAAGACTACTGCTAGCGCTAATATTACTCCTGCAGCGCTCCTCTAGAGTGTTGCTGCCGAATCCTGAAGACTCCCTACTGCCTGTAGGGCGGACCAGCCTTATATATTGCTGGCCCGTCCAGGAGGCGGCTCTTGCCAATGCCCAAACGTGCTAGGCCCTGAGGAAGCTTCCAGAAAGTTTCCAGGTAGCTTCTGGCTAAAGCCTGAGGAAGCTTCCGGGAAGATTCCAGGTAGCTTCTGGCTAAAGCCTGAGGAAGTTTCTGGGCAGTTTCCAGGTAGCTTCTGGCTAACGCCTGAGGGCCTATAGGCCCTTGTTTTCAGGCTGTCAGGCCTGTAGGCCCTGGTTTTCAAGCTGTCAGGCTGAAACAGCCACGGGTCCTGTAGGCCCTGATTTTCAGGCTGCCAGGCTGAAATGGACATGGGGCCTGTAGGCCCTGGTTTTCAAGTTGTCAGGCTGAAACAGACACGGGGCCTATAGGCCCTGGTTTTCAGGCTGAAACAACCACGGGGCCTGTAGGCCCTGGTTTTCAGGCTTTCAGCCTGAGGGACGCAGGGCCTGGAAAATGACCCTCGTGTGCAGGCGCAGCATGTAACAATCTCCTACTAGCATGTGAGTGAAAAGCAACATCTACACTAGTCCAAATCACAAGTAATTAGCATGAGACCATCCATAAAAGAACCGAAACATCTGTTACTAGCATGTGAGTGAAATGCAAGATTTGAAGTAGCCCAAATCACAAGAATTGAACATGAGACCATCCATAGAAGAATCGGAACATCTCCTAGTAGTGTGTGAGTGAAAAGCAAACTCTACATTAGTCCAAATCACAAGTAATGAGCATGAGATCATCCATAAAAGAATCGGAACATCTCCTACTAGTGTGTAAGTGAAAATCAAGATCTACATTAGTCCAATAGGCAAGAGAAAAGAGGGAAGAAGAGGAAGAAGAGGAAAAATAAGAAGATGGAATGAAGAAGGGGAAGAAGAGGACGAAGAAGAAGAAGAGGGAGGAGAAGGAGAGGAAGAAGAAGAAGAAGAAGAAGAAGAAGAAGAAAACAAAGAAGATGAAAAAGATGCAGAAGAATAAAAAGATGAAGAAGAATCTTTTCCTTCACTCACCTTCTTGATGCCTTGGAGATGGAGCCCTAACCTTGATGAAGCTTCCTCTTTCTTGCAAAAGCTCCTTCTTGGTTAAAGCTTTCTTCTTCCTTAAGCCTCTCTCCTTCCTCTCTCACTTTTTCCCAAGTTACCACAATCTCTTATCACCATAGCTATGGAGTCCTCCCCTCTACGAGGGCAAATGAGACTCCCTCTAGCCTCTCTCTCTTCCTCACACTCAGGGGGCTATGGCGGATCACCTCCCTAGGGCCAGCCTCACTACCGCTAGTCTCTAGAGCTCCTCTCCCTAGCTCATGGCCTCTACCAAACTCCTAAACTGGCATGGGTTCCCCTCTCCTCTCTCCAAGTGAAAGAGTGTTTCTATGAACTCACTTGGGCAGCATGGGCACTCCTCATGCAATTGTGAAAGTGGCGGACTGAATTCTCAACTTATGTAGGCTGAAACCAGCAGTCCGGCCAGCCCATGGGCCTCCCCATGTGCCTTGAGGTGAACCGAGGTACCCCCAAGGCAAAATTATACTACTAGGTCATTCCGGTGGTACATGCAGTCCGAGTGGTTGGTACAAACTTGGATTGCCTCTTGGCCTACTTCGACCTCCTTTTCGCCTCAAAAATGCTGCCCCCTTGGGTCCTAATGCCCAAGGGGCAACTTTGTTTGAGAGAAAAAGGCCTAGTGGGCCTTTTTCTCGGTTTTTTCAATTTGTACCCCATTTTGGGTAGGCCAAAATATTTTTCCATGCAGCGGCATATTTTCAGCCTTGGATCTGGCTGAGATCCAAGGCCAACAATATTTTATGTCACCCCCATGTAGCCCTTGCTTCAATTTTGAGCCCCTAAATCCACTTATTCAATTTTTGGTGCATCTGGCTCTCTTTTTCGGCCAAATGTACAGTTTTGTCCCTTTCCCTCTTTTGTTTCTTTCCATTTTGGGCTGCCACCTCATTCCGGAGCTAGCTGTTTTGAGCTGGCCCACAAAAAATAGCTAGTTCCTATCCACCATGAGATCTGATCTCAGATCCGTGGTCCAAAAGAAAACCGGTCATTTCTCTTTTGCATTTTCTCTCATTTTTCTCTTTTTAATTCAAATTTTATTGAGATATGGCCCCAAGGGCGATATCTCTGCAATTCGGATTGCCCTCCCTCATTCTAGGAGGGATGAGGTCACAGTTGGGATCTGCCAGTCCCTACTGTGCAGGTCCCAATAGGCCGACACACTCTCCTCCACTCTTTTCTCCCTTTTTGTCTCATTCTCCCTCCTTTTTCTCTCATTTTTCTTTCTTTTTCTTTTATTTCAGTTGTGACAAGTGTCAAACTATTGTGCACCCTCTTTCTAGGCCTTAGGACCTCATTGAAGGTTAGGTTCATAGCTGGCACTTGGTCGTTATATCTCGGATTTCAACAATGGCACCCCCATGCTTCTAGAGGGCTCCATTTTGCCTCCGTTTGTCAAATTTTGACCCCCCTTTTGCTCCGATTTTCTAAGGACAGCCTTTTTCTTATGTTGAGCCTCTTGAGGCTCTATTTTCTCATGCCTAGCTAGTCTGGGATATCTCGGACTGCTGGGCAGCCCTCCCCATACTATTATTTTACTTTCTTTTCTCCCATACTGTTATTTTACTTTCTTTTCTCCCCATGGCTTTTTCACTTCCTCCCACTAGTGTTCGCACTAGTGGTGCTAGTATTGCCCACCATCTAGATCCGTGATCTTGACGGTGCCGTTTGTTTGCACCATTATTCCTTGTGCTTGCTCATGGTTCCCTTGGGACATCTTAAGTCCCCGGCACTTTTCCTCCGTACTAGTTCCGTTTTCTTGTCCCGTTGGCGGTCTCTCCGGCGCGTGTCCCGTATTCCGACTTTTATTATTTGGACCCACTTGGTCCTCGACAACATTCCGGATGGTGTCTCATTTTTATTTTTGGACCCCCTTGTCCTTGGCGGCCCCAACATCTCTCCCTATGTGTGCCGATTTTTCTAGGTCGTGAGATCTCATCTTACAGTTTGTCGTTTACTGTCTCCACTTGCCTTATGCCGAAATTGCTCCTTTCTAGCCTTTTGGGCTCGCCATGGCTAATTTTCCCTTAGCCTAGGCACCCCCATGCAGTCCGTTATTTCTCGGACTACAGTCATGGCTATTTTCCTAATCCCACAGCCCCACAACTTGCCCCATGCTAAAAGAAAATGAAGCGTTAATTTTCTAAGTGCATCCGGGCTCAATATTGGCTTCGAATGCACAAA